AAGGTTTTTCAAGTTAAATTTAGTTGTTTTAGTTATTATTTCAAGTTATTAGAGTACGTTTATATATAATTTCAAGTTTAATTTGCTTAAATTCAGTTCTATTAACTACAATTTAAATTTATTTACATTATTTATGATTCAAGCATGCTAGATTAGGTTTAATTTGCTATTCTTAACGTTTCATGAGTTAAATTAAGTTTGTTAAATTTAATTTTAGTTTCAATTTTAGTTCATTCAGTATCTTTATATGATAATTCAATTTTTTAAGTTGCATTAAATTCGAATAGTTAAGGAAGTTAATTTAGTTTTTGCGTATTAGTTTCAATCTATCTAAATATAATTAGGATGTTATAATTTCGATACTTAGTATTAACTCTATTTAGGGTTTTGCATCCTTCAACTAAATCAAAAACTTTATGGTGGATAACAATGTGAGGAAGGATGAAAAAACTGACTTCAAATACACTTTTTTATCTTTAAAAAAAAAAAAACCTTTTGATGTGGTTTTTGTTTTATCATGTGGAGTACATTTCTGCAACATACGTGCTAGGTTGTCCCAAAAATTATGGCACATTAGTTTGCTAATTATAATATCATCTTGAATTCCATGCTTTGTTTATTGACAAAATGGCATAACGAGTCAAATTGTGTTAGATAACTTTTGAAAAATCATGTCAAAAACTACACCATTTTTATTAGCTTTTTGTAAAATCTATAATTGCAAGATTGCTACTCTATCTATCCCTTTCAAGTCTATTTGTTAATATCAATAGCATCATTTTATAGGTCCTTATTATTAATGCTCTTTTCTACTATCTTGTTGATGGCCACTATCTTGCTGGTTATCAATTTGATTTTTCCTTTTTCAACTATATTGTCTTGAAACTTTCCAATTTAGAAAAGCTAATAGTACTTTTAATTGCTATTCACCTTTATAAATTTATGTTCTGACTCTCTAAATTTGTGTTACCTATTTACAATGTCTTATTTTAAATTTTTTTATTTATTTATTGATATAGATTCTACCCCTTTTCTTAATTTTTATCTAATGCAGTATTAAAACTTAATATAAAATTTTAGCCTTAAAAGGACTAGTAGAAAATATAAAATCTAAGTAATATCTGAAGTATAATGAAACTAATTAGGTCAAGGGCTTAAAAGGAAGGGTAGAAAATATTGAAACTAAGTAATATCAAAAGTATAATGAAACTAGTAAGTTCAAGGGCTTTAGGTGATATTTTAAGAATGTTGAGGGTTTTGGGATTTTTGTAGTTTTGTAGGGAAAGTGATTTGGCCTTTGGATTTTTTTTTTTTTAATTTTCTTAAGAAAAAAGAATTATTTAAGGAAAAAATTAAATATTCAATCAATTTTCATTTTTTAGTTTTGGATTAAATAAATAAATTTCAAGATTTTTTAGTGAGGGAAGAGGAAAGAAGAAATAAACACGTCATAAATAAAGAGAAGGGAAAAACATCGTAAATGAGAAAGGTAAACAAAATGTCAAAAAGAAAAAGATAATTGGAGTAGTATAATTATCTTAAATTAAAGAAAAATAATGTATAAGTACTGCAAAATAATACGATAAATTAATTAAAAGGAAATCATAATTAAGGAATAAATTATAATTAAAAAAAATCATTTAGTATTGAGGAAAGAAAGGAGCGTTGATTTTGAAGAGATGACAATATAGATGACCATGTTGTTGGTAGGATGTCTATGGACATCCTCAGAGACTAGAAATAAAAAAATAAAAAATTTTGAAGGATAATTTTCCTTTTGAACATCTATTTTTTATATTGAATTCGTGAGTCTTGAGTCCCTTGCCCTTTCTCTGCAAAAACCGCGTTTGGTTATGTGATATTGCCGATGCCAATGAAAGAAACTGGCTTTGCAAAGCCTAGTAGTTGCTCCCACATCCACCTATTATACTCAATTCATGTTGCCAAACAATGAACCTTACAACCTGGCCTGCCAGGCATCTCTTACTGTCTTACATATAAATATACTACCAAAATCAACCATCGAAATCAAACAACAGCAACAACCTGAGTCACTTCGTGCAGCCGAGGGATACCACGAGAACGTACATCAAGAAATGGCTGCATTTCATTCTCCATCAAGTGCATCCACTGGAATGGTTTCATTGTTGCTGATCAGTTTCTTGGTGGTTGCCTTCGCTGCTAACTTCTAGCAAAATTGTGACACCATTTAGGGAGATGACCATGCTCATATTCACGACAGCGGCAATCTGCTTACTCTGTCTCTGGCCAAATGCTTTGGCTCTGGATTCCAATCCAAGGAAGAATATCTATTTGGAAAGATTGATATGCAGCTCAAGCTTGTCCCTGGAAATTCTGCTGGCACAATAACTGCCTATTATGTAAGTCTTCTGTTTAATGGAATCTGTAATAGTTATCTCATGTCTTTTGGCACAATTAACCTCTGAATTGATTTCTTTGTGTTGCAGTTATCTTCAAAAGGGGAAACTTGGGATGAGATTGATTTTGAATTCTTGGGGAATTTAAGTGGACAGCCTTACATTCTCCATACTAATGTATTCTGCCAAGGCAAGGGCAGCACAGAGCAGCAATTCTACCTATGGTTTGAATCCACTGCAGATTTGCACACCTACTCCATCCTTTGGAACCCCCAGCCCATTGTGTAAGCCAGCCAAAGCAAGCATACATCAAGCATGCAAATGCATTCATTCTGTTGTACACCTGGAATCTGGATTATTTTCCCACAAATAGTCATTCTATTACAAATCTGTATCTCAGATTCTATGTTGATGGCATCCCCACTAGAGATTTCAAGAACCTAGAGCCTTTTGTGTTATGTCTGGAGTGCTGATAACCGGGCAACTAGAGGTGGACTTGTCAAGACAGATTGGAGTGGAGCTCCCTTCAAAGCTTCCTATAGGAACTTCAATGCTGATGCTTGCGTCTGGTCATCTGGATTATCTTTTTGCAGCCCTAACAAAAATGCTTGGTTTTGGGAAGAGCTTGATTTTGCAAAGAATGAGCAGATGAAATGGATGCAAGAACATAGCTTACCATCCTTTGCCAACATACTCTAAGAACATAGCTTACCATCCTTTCTTCACCTCCCCACCAGTAAGAATATTGTTATTCCCTTCTAATTTCCTCCCAATTTCACTTAAAACATGAGGCATTGTTCTTCCCCTCTTAATAAAGTTGGCTCCTTGATGTATTTTTTTAACCTTTCTCTGTACTGTATGCATATGGTCTACAATTTTGAAATAAGGGCTTTGTAACAACTATTTTTTACTCCAATCTCAAATCTAATTTACTTTTAGCAACTAGATAGCTATTGTCCAGTTTTAGATTTTGATTTTAATGTATCAATTCCCAGAACTTTTTTTTTTTTTTGTTCTTAAGTATGAGCAAAAGATCTTTTGAAAAAAAAGAGTATGAAAAATCTAAAACTAAAAGTCGTCTATCCAAAGGTTTTCATAATTAGATTAAACATTTTAATTTGAGAAACCTCCGCATAATTGTATGAATTTTTTCTTCTTTATCTGTAATTAACATGGAAGACAATGTTCTCAGTAAACCCTCCGAGATCAATTCAACAACTGAAGTTGATGATGAGTAAAACGTTCAAACGCCAGATTTCAAATCTTTTAATTACTATAATTAATGCTTAGAAATAAATATTCAGGCTTATAATCTTGGATCCGAGCCTGTTTCAAGGAATACCTCTCAGTCTCCATACTTTCATGATGTGGGCTCCGAGCCTAGTACCTCAGCAGTATGCCAATTTATCCATCCTCGAATGGATTTTTGATGCCTGAAACATATGTAGCTTTCCAATTCCCTTTCGCTGTTGTGTCCCCAATCTTGTTTCTAGTACTTTAACTGTATCCCCTTTCCTTATGGTAGCCCGAAGGCTCGCAGATATTGAATGGCAGAGAGTGATAAAGATGATCTTTTGTGATAAGTAGGTCCTTCAGAACTACTATATATTATTTCATCCTAATTTTTTTATTGTTCAACATATATATTGTAAATGATTCATAGATGTATTAACACATAAGAAAAATATCAGCACCGATTACCTTATTCATTCTGTTTATTAATTTGCTTAATTGGCAGTTCATTAATTAAGTTTTTATTTTTATTTTTTTAGTCGCATGAACTTGATTTCCGTACACCAATATTATATAATTAATTATTTAAAACTGCTCTCTCTTCACCCACCTTTTCACGTCTTCTGCTTTCAAACTGAGAGTTTTACTAACCCTAATGTAAGAATTGACGTAATCCCTTCCATTTGCTATACTGTAAAAAAACTTGAGGTTTTTTTATTAAGATTGATAATTGATGTATTTGTGTCATGTTTATTTTTTATCAATATAAGTAAAATATAAAAATTATTTTATCATAATTTATGTTAATATACCAAACATGAAATATATATAATTTTTATTTATATTAAACTTATTTATAATTTTTATTAAAATTTTAAATCATATAATTTTATTTTTTTCATATCATGTCAATATTTATAGTTCATATCGTATCAATAATTTTATATTTATATCGTATCATACATCCTTAAAGATTTGGATTATTTTATTTTTTAAGTAAACTTTGCCATTTTTTATCCACTATTTTAATTTTGATGAAATGCCTACCTAGGCTTCTGATGATTCATACCACGGGATAAAAGCAATAATAAATTTGGGAGTTACGAAAATAAAATTGATAAAGTACTAACATCATCACTTCAACAATTTAAAATGAGTAGGGAAATACAAACCTAGCATATTTGAAACAAGAAAATGAAAGAAAACACACAGCAAGCTTGAAACAACAAATCAAGGAAAGCACATAGCTTAACTTGATTGACACCCTAATTATTATGAACTTTTAGAAATAGAAGATAGGACTAGCTCAAATTCATAAAGTATTAAAAATCCAAGGTTGATTCAAATGTATAAAAAATAACCTACCCAACCTTGTCAAAAATGGAGAGTTTAATTTTGAAAAATGGGCTTTCTGACAAGAACCACTGAGTTGATCACTTCATCTGTTGGATGAAAAATTGAAAGTAACTCAAAACCGGTCATGTCATGGTCCCGGACAACGGGGTATAAAAATGCTCTAGCTCCATTGGCACTCCTCACAAGCAAAAATCCTCCTGCCTTCATGTACTTCTTTATGTGCCCAACAATTTTTAATTTTTCTTCTCTGCTCATCCCAACCAAAGCTGCCAAAAAGATACAATCATATTCCCCCAGCTTTTCTCTTACCTCCATTATATCGCATGTCACAAACTTCATCCTCTTCTCGAACTCACAATCGGATGCAACTATCTGGCGAGCCATATCATTTGCTACTCCATCTATGTCAAAGTTGTCGAAATGAGTAGATTCCATGTGATGAGTAGCCATTTCAATAGAGGTGAGAGGCATTGGACCTGAGCCAACAAAGGCTACCTTCTTTGGTTGCACCAGACCATTCTCACTAAGAATTCTATACTCCAAACTGGCTAGCTTGACATAGTTCCCATAGTGAGGGAAGAGATTAAGATTATTCAATGGGTGCGGAATTTTGGATAGCAATGTTGCAAATTCGAGCTCTAATAAGCCTTCTGCCCGACCACTAATAAGTATGAGATTCAAACGCATGTCTTGCATCTCTTGGGATAAGGCCTCAATGTCTATATTTGAAGGAAGGGTACATAATTTCACAAGGTGAGTGAAGAGGTCCTATTTTTCCTTTTTCGGATAATTTCCTTCACAGCCGTTCAGAATTAGGCCATTTGGGGAAACTTAAAAGGTTTTTCATTATTGTTGGATTAATTTGATTTTCCCTTCCATGTTGGGTTATTTTTTCCCTTTTAAGCTATTTTCTTCTGGGTCATTCTGATTAGATCATTTGGTGAAAATTAATGGGTTTTTAATTATTGTTGGACTATTTTGTTTAGGCCAAATTTAATGATTAAATTTTTGGAACCATTAATTTAATTAATTTGGGCTAAATAAATTTGTTAGATTTTGGACCACATTAAATTAAATTGATGCCAAGTTTAATTTTAATTCTTTATGGGCCATTAAGGTGTAGGCCATTTTGGTGGAATTAAAATTTTAGTCATTTTGTTTTATGCCAATTTTGTTGAAATTCAAATATTAGGCCTAATTTAATTGATTTTGGCCATTTTGTGTAAAGCCATTTTAGTTAAAATTATTTTGTAAAATATTTTGGCTCTAAAATTAGTGGGTTCATTTTGTAAAATATTCGGCTTAATTAAATGGGTGATAAATGAATTATTTGAGTATTTTAGTTAGCCTAATTTTGATAATTAAAATTTATCCATATCAATTAATAATTCATTTAATTTCGTAAAAACCCATTTAATTAATAAAACTACCTTATTATTTGAATAGTCATAGTAAATTTAATCAATTGATTTTGTTAGGCTCGATCTTTTGTATATACTTTAGGCATTGCATATTTTTATTGTAGTTAAACGTTGGTTTGACAATTGTGGTAAATATTCTTAAATTATATAAATTACTAATCAAATTGATTAAAGCCCACCTATTGTGGAAGTGATCATGACGATTTTTGAGATTTTTTAGTAAGTTATTTCAAACAATAATGAGGCAAATCTTTCATGATAATTGCAATATTTACTGATTCTTATAAAGTGATAAGACTTTCCTTCTTGGATTGGTTATTGTCTTAAGGGATGCTTGGAAAGAAAATGATTTTGGATGAGGTATAATGTGATTTAGCTACCTTGTTGAGAACAAGTCATTCTAGGGTCATATTCGACTAGTTTTGTATTATCCATGGCAGAATGCTCAGGAAAAATTTTTAAATTTTAGAACTAATAGAATAACCTTCATGACATGATTCAGTTTTTACATGTATAATACAATTTGAATTTTTTATAAAGCTTTAAATCTCGGTTTCATCTCTATAACTATCATTTAACGGGATCATTTAGATTAATGGTGTGTATCACCCTCTATGGTTTTAGGCATAATAAATTCAAGAATAGCTAGAGAATTGATCACCTTCAATACTCATTTGGGTGATAAGCTCAAGTTCCTAAGTTTGATTAAGGACAAAATGATGGTGTGCTTTTTTAAGACACTCTAATTAAAATTGTTTGATGGCTTCTAGATATACCATTAGTGAATGCATCGATAAAGTGTACTACACACTGATAATTAAAGATACCATTAGAGATAATTTTTGTAAAGTTTCATATGATTAAAATATCAAACCATAGATATTATTCACCACTACCATGTTGGATAGGGTGGAAGGTTTCCACGAGCATAGTTCAAAAATGACAATGTTAAAATACGGGACTAGTTCCCACTATGACAGATTTCTAGATAACTTATTTCTAGGGTGACAGTGTGAGTCAAATCCACCCATAAAATACAAAATGAAGCATATGGTATTTAAATATCATGAGTGCTATAACCATCCAAGAGAATGAGATATTATAAGCAGGCAATCTAATTATGTCCTCTAAATGATATAGGTCAACACTACTACCAAAAGGAACATTGTGAAAGACTACATTAAAGGTTATTTAAGAAAAAAATTTTGTGAAACCCATTTTCCTTTTCGGTTTCACGAATACTTCTAAATCATGAAATCAGAGGATTTTGAAATGTATGCTACCTTTATTATAAATCAATCACAAGAGGGCAATCTATAAAAATTCTCTAGATTGGATAGTAAAGCAAGACATTTTGTTAGCCTTTTTTGTTTGAATATAATCCAAATACCATGCTTCTGTTTTTTTGTGGTTGGATACTGATGCTAATGTTGTTATAACAAATCTGGTAATTGGCAAGCAACCAAAAACCAAGTTAAATGGAAGATACTTGTGAATGTGGGCAACCTTTTTCAATTGTGCATATTGTAATGATGTGGTCGTTGGTTCTAATCCTAGTAGAATAGATGAGAAGCCTACCATGTTATGGTATAAACATTGACGACATTCTGAATTTGGCACATAAATAGATTACATTAAGAGAAGTTTCGCTGCTAATATGTAGTTGTGATTAGCAAATGCAAAGAAGTTTAGGATCTGACTTAAGAACTAACTTATATCGATAATTGTGGGTCACCTTCACTTGCTATTTTCAATGGATTTAGGCATTTCATCACCTTCATTAAAGACCATTCAGGCTTTGGTCATGTGGGGTGAGAAGTCTAAATCTATGGAAGCCTTAATGTTTTTAAAATTCATTGCCAAAGTTTTCGAAAACACAAAATTAAGGCAATGAGATCAAACATAGGTGATGAATACTATGGTTGATAAGCTGAATCCTAAACTATTCTATCAAGTCTTCTATAAGATTTTGGTGTAGATTTCGAATATGCTATGCTTGAAATATCAAAAGAGAATAGTTGTAGCAAAAGACAAACGCACACTTTTGAGCATAGTTTGGTATATGCTGTGACATTCCACATTTATGAATTTCATATGGAATAAAGCCTTTGAGATTGCAACATTTAGTCTAAACCAAGATACAAGCAATTCCTAAAGTTCTTATAATCATGGTTAGACAAGAAGTTGATTTTGAGCCATTTTTGGAGGTTAGGGTTGTAATATGGAATGAAGCCTTTGAGACTACAACATTCAGTCTAAACCAAGATCTAAGCAAGTTCCTAAAGTTGTTATAATCATGGTTAGACAAAAAGTTGATTTTGAGCCATTTTTGAAGCTTAGGTTTTAGTAACCCTAACTCTTTAAGTTGGATGTTTGCTAAGTAGTATGAGATTACATCTATGTTGTATAGTTGTGTGTAGAATCATGATGAATGACCACATTATTGTATTTCAATGGATTGTTGATGGACTTATAAGGTTGAAAAGGTACTCCATAAGTGAAGTAGAAAGGCTTAAAGCCAATTCTATGATTTAGGGCTTTAAACAAAAAGAAGTAATTGACTGTAAAGAATCCTTCTATTATGTTTCTACCATTAAATCTTTTAGAATTTTTACGCCATTGGTAGCTCATTCAATTAGGAGCTACATGAGTTAGACGTTAAGATTGGATGTCTAAATACAATGACTAGAAGGTTCTATGATTTTTTGTAATGGAATATTCAGTTTATAGATTTGAGACATCCATTTGTGGTAGTAATCATTTTTGTGATAATTGTAGTTAATGAGATTGTCACTTTAAGGAAAACATGGGAGATCAATGCATATGTCTAAAGGTCAATGAAAGTAGTGTATTTCAGGTGCTTTATATTTTGACGATATCATATTAGTAGATGTTGACACTAACTTATTATTTTAGACATTACATGTTGTCATGTCATTTCAGTTAAAGAATCTAAGTGAGGCTTTCACTTTGATTTAGGGATTGAAATTCTTAATGATAAATATAGAGGCATACTTTATTGGTTTCTTAACCTACATTTAGTATGTGTTTGTTGAATAGGTTTGATGTACACTATTATTTTTCTAATAAGGCACTTGTTGTGAATAGGGACATACTGTTAAATCTTAAAGTCCTTATGCTAATAAAGTAAAGAATTCATGTCAAATATTTAGTATGCTTCAACTATAAATAGTCTGATTTATGCTTAAATCTATACAGATTTTGATGTTATGTATACTATAGGTGTACTTCAGAGACATTTAAGCAATTTTATATTCAAATATCAGTGATTCAACATTTTAGATTTAGTCAATCAGTTGATCTTGATTCTATATGTTTTGTGAAGCCAATTTCAGTATTATTAGTTAGATGAGCTATTTTTAAAAAAGTATAAAATGAACATTTATAGCATTCTCGATAATGGAGGTGAAACATATAGCATGTGATGGAGCTACATGTCTAATTATTGATTGTAGAATCTCATCTCAGGGCTAGATTCTAAGTTTTCCATTTCGATGTCATTAAGGATGTTTTGTGGTAAATTTGTAGTGCTGGCTTTCTCTTAAATACTAGGAGTTTGTCACACTCTATGCATATAGATATCATCATTCAGTATATTAGAGAGAAAGAACTTGAATCCATTATTACTGTAAATTGTAGAGCACATAATTTACAAAAGTCATTCCAGTATAACCATTAACTGATTTTGACTGGTAAAGTGTCATGACGACAAACACTTATTTAGGACTTGTAGAGCCTTTTGATGCTTTGAGTTAATGAAAGCTCTATGGAATTGAAGTCAAGAGCAATTGTGATAGATGGATTTCTATTTACCATATGTATGTTCTATTTGTATGCCTTTTGTTGAGTGTGGCATTCTATTGGATAAGACATTCGGGCTTAGTTTCATATGTTTCTTTCAAAACAATGCATCATTCAATTGAGACTCAAAAGACCTAATGAAAATAGATATTGATTCTGTTTTTAGATCATTTCAATTTCACACTATTATACTACTACTTCTAAAGTGTTTATGAGTCTATGTACACGTATTTTGTTAGTACAATATATTTTGGGGACACATGATTGCTTGTTGTTATTTTATTGTTACTGCTGTTAAAGTATTTATAAGTCTACATACATGTATCCTATTAATATAGTCCCTTCTAAGGCTTATGACCACTTTTAAGTTGCAAAGAGCATGTAGGTCCACACATTGATACCTATCGGTACAATGTATTTTAGGGCTTATACATTCTCATTCTGTTGTATAAAAATTTAGGTATATATTCATATTGACATTTTCAATTTACGCCCATTCCATTAATTCGAATTCTAGTTTAGTGACTTGCATTGTCTAAGTTGGAGATTATTGTATTTATCTCATATTGGTAGACTAATAAAGTCATTAAATATAGCATTATATTAATTAATGTTAATTGATGAGTAATTGTTGTGGTATCGTATTGTAATATATCCAAATAGTTGTATGATTGCATTTAAGTGTGAGTCTGGTTTAATTTTGTATTTAAACCCTAATGGGATGGATCAATTTTGACTAATATGATAAGGGAGGTCCTTATTCTCATTTTTATATATATGAGGTTAGCATATTGAGTTTCATAACTTTAATTTTGAGAGGCATAGTGCAATTCTCTCTCTTTTACTGTGCAGGTCTCCAATCAGAGCTCGAAGGCAGGTGTTGGAGAGCTCGTGGTGGCAACATAAATTCTGTGGCCGTGAATTTAACGAGATTGAACTCTCGGTTGCATACAAATCAGTTTAAATTTATATTAAATTATGTTAATGATCATGTAAGCTTCTAGACTAAAACCAATACGGATCATATGATTGTTGATAATTTCTTACACTACCACATAAAGAAAGAAGAATAATTGAATACATAATTGATTTTCTCAGATTTTGGAAATAATTTTTTTAATTTCTCTAAAATATTAGAAATAATTACGATTGTCTTTATAGCTTTTTTTTTAAAAGAAAATTTTAAATAAGGATCTTTCAATTTTAAAACTTTTTTTTTTGACGAAATACGTTAAACATATTTAGTGTAAAAGATAAAGTTAAG